ATGGTGGCGTACACCTGTAATCCCCAGCAGCTCCGGAGGCTGAGACAGGAGGATCATGCGTTCAAAGCTAGCCTTAGCAATGGTGAGGTGCTAAGCAACTCAGTGAATCCCTGTCTCTAAATAACATAGGGCTGGGGATGTGGCTCAATGGTTGAGTGCCCTTGAGTTCAATCCCCAGTACCCTCCACCCCAAAGAAGTTATATTCAGCAGGATAATCCCAGCATCAAGGAAGCTGAGGTTAGAGGATCTCAAATTCTAGGCCAGCTTTAGCAATTTAGTGAAACCCTGTCTCAAAATAAAAAGCACTGGGGATGTCACTCAGTTGTAGAGTGCCCTTGGGTTCTATCCCCAGTTCCATAAAAAAAGAAAAGAAAAAGAAAGGAAACTGATTGGTAGTTATCTGGGGATTAGGGTCCGTGGCAGGGAAGGCATGTAGAAGTCTTATAAAGAGGCATGAAAAACTTTTGGAGGTCATGGGTAAATTCATTAATTTAATATAATATAAAATGTGCTAGGGATGCAGCTTAGTGGTAGAGCACTTGCCTAGCATGTAGAAGTCCCTGGATTCAATCCCCAGAATTGCAAAAGAAAATAGACATTGCTATTGTTGCTAGTTGGAACAGGGAAATTCTGCCTGAAGAGTGAGAAAGTACCAATATTTATATCTTTTTCCTCTATCTCTCTCTCTTTTTTTTTTTGTTTCTAGTGCTGGGGATTGAACCCAGGACCTTGAGCATGCTAAGCAAGCCTTGATTTACTTCTTAAATGGATTCATTAATTCCTAATCTGAAGAGATTAACATCAATTTGGATCTTGTTATCCATTAGTCAGGTGAAATCATCATTTGAAGTCAATATTTTCTCAAATACAGTTAAATATCATCAACAAAAAATGAGTTCTAAAAAAAATGTACCTGGTGATGAAAAGTTAAAAAAAAAACTTGTAATCTATAAATCTTCTGATTCACTACCTACCTCTTTGGCTCGTATGAGCTGTGCTTTTTCAATCCTAGAGATGACTGTCTGTACTGAGAATGGGATTTCAAGGTAAGAGACCACTGGAACATCAAGGGTACTTCCAGGCTTTCTTCTCATGGTCGAGGCATCATTCTCTTTTTCTGATTCAGAATCACTATCTACCTCATTTCTCATTTTGGTAAATGTTTGAAATTTTGGGTGTTTTTCTTTTATTCTTTTCCACAGAATATAGGCAAATGCTAATAAAAGTGTTTCCACTAGGAAGCCAGAAGCCTGCTCCTAGAGATTGTGACTTATCTTACTACCAACTGATTCCTAACCATGGTATTCCAGACCCAGTGATGTCATAATAGATCTACTGTGACATTAATATTGACTCATACATTTAAAAAGTGCTTACTATATGCAGAGAACTAGGCATTCTATATGCTGTGTTGGTAGACGGGTGAAGGGGGGAGGGAGGGGAGGAAAGAATAGACAACAGGAACACTAAAAGATATAGAAGACGTAGCCCTGCTTAAATGAACTTGAAATCTAGGTGTTAGAATTCAAGATGCAATCCAGTATATCAAATGTAATTCTTGGTTCTTCTTTTCTCTTAGTTTCGCTTAAATATTTTTAAACCTGTTATAGGATAGTACTTTACAATTTTCACAGCTGTCCCTTAACTTTTCCTAGACATGTAGTAATTGGAAGATATTATTTAGATGCATATCACACTCTTCCTCCTCCTCCTCCTCTTTTTCTTCTTCTTTTTTAAGGAAATTGACTGAAATTCAAATTCCATAGTTGGCTCAAAAAATCAAAAGGAATGCTAAAGGCTGCTTTCCACCTGAGAAGAGGAGTGCTTTGGGCAGCTCCTTTGATTACAGAGGAGGTGAAAGGATTTAGGAGGCTGGAGCAATTAAAGGATAGGGTGTTTTGTTCACTGTGTAGCTTTATTTTTTAATTTAAAATGTATAAAAGTACAGAAAATAATATAACAAATCGCTATGTACTTATCACCTAGAGTGAACAAATATTTTGTCTTAGTCAATTCTAATATTTTGTTAGTTTTCTCTTTAGTTTTGCTTCAGATATTTTTAAATAAAGGAAAGTATTAGAGAACTGACATCCCCTTTGTTGTCCTCCCCAGATTCCTTCCTTCCCCTCTTCCATTCCAAATGCAATAAGAATCATGAATTTAATGTATCTGTATCTAGTCTACATAGTTTTGCATGTGTTCATAAACTATATAGTATCATTTTACAGGTTTTAAATTTTATACAAATTATGGACGTATAACAATTTCTCTATCAGAACTTCTTATTTAAGACCTTTTGGTAAATATATTGTAAAATTAGTCCTATGATGATATCTTGTAAACTTATAAAATTTATGTTTCGTAATTTGTAAAAACACAATTTTGATGTTTTAAAGATAATCAGTATATTAGGGAGCAAATTACATATTTTCCCTTCTCCTTAAGATGTCATTTTCTGAGTGATTCCCTCCTCTATGTTCTCAAATCACTTGTAAATTTTTTATTATAGTATTTATCTCATTAAAATATAACTATTATTTATCCACTCCTTGGTGAGCTTCCCAAAACCAGATGCTCTACTTTTGTTTTTCTCATATTTGGCATATTTTTCATCAGTTCTCCCAGAGAAACTGAGTAAAATGTAGAGATGCATTATTATTTTCAGTATCTTTCTTTGTGGAACCTTTTTTTTTTTAGTGGTGCTGGGGATTGAACCCAGAGCCTTACGCAAGTCAGGCAATCACTCTACCAACTAAGCTACCTCCCCAGCCTTTGTAGAAACTTTTTTAAACCCCAGAATACTTTGATTGTCAGACCAACTTCATTCATTTACTCAAATTCATGTTTTCTTTTTTTTTCCATAATGTTTTCTGAAAGGACTACAATTAAGGAGCTATTTTTATAAATATGAGGTCTGATTAAAATACCTATCATTATTCAGCATTTATTTATTTATTTGATTTTGGGGGGATGATATTGGGGATTGAGCCCAGGGGTGTTTTACCATTGAGCTATAACCCCAGTTCTTTTAATTTTTCCCCCCAGTTCTTTTAATTTTTAATTTTCAGACAGGGTCTCATTGAGTTAATGAGGCTGGTCTTGAACTTGTGATCATTCTGCCTCAGCTTCCTGAGTTACGGGGATTACAGACATGCATCACTGCTCCCAGCATTATCCAGCATTTCTTGACATTATCAATTCACCTCTTTAAGTACTTTGTTCATCATAATATTCATGTGTGAGAGCCTTACTTAACTTTTCTCTCATTGCTTATTCCAGTAGGCATTCATAAAGCAGCCAAAATGTTAACTAAACTAACTTAGCATTATTACTCTCTCTCCTGCTCTCTTGCTTGTATGTTTCATGCAGCATGGAATTCATCAGCAATTGGAAATGAAGTCTTTTTAAAGCAAACTTTCAAAATTCTTCTAACCATTCGACAAGCATTTGTTGAGACACTATTATGCAGCTATCATTATCCTAAACTGAGAAGAATATATAAGGTTCCTGTGAAGAAACTAAAAAACAAAAAAATAAACAATTTGAGATAAAATATAACAATCAAGTGCAAAAAGGGACATGAAGAAGAGATCTGTGGAGAACAGAGTCTTTGGGAAAACTTTATGGAGAGAGATGGTTGGTTGACAAATGAAGGCACTGCAGATAGGGAAGATACCTTGAGTCATGGCTTTGGAGGTGAGTACTAATGAGTTTGTATCTTGGGGGGCAATTGAAGAGATTGGTCTAATCAATGAGATGAAGCAATGAGAGTTTACTGGGGAATCAGACTAGGGAGGGTCTGTGTTACTAACAATCTGATGATGGAATCAATTTGGTATGTGAGAAAGTGAGAGGTTTCCTTTGAGGTTAAACAAGGGAGATTCCAAAGGATCAGATTGGCAAGGTGTTGAAAGCAAGTAACAGCAGTTTGGAGATTATGAAACCTTCACTTTAGAAGATTTTTTAAAAATAAGGAAGGAGAGTCTGGGGCGCAGTGGAGCATGCCTATAGTCCCAGTGACTTGGGAGGTTGAGGCGGGAAGATTGCAAGTTCCAAGTCAGACTCAGACTTAGTAATTTAGGGAGGCCCTAAGCAACTTAGCAAAATCCTGTCTCGAAATAAAAAATAAAAAGGGCTGGGGATGTAGCTCAGTTATAAAGTTCCCCTGAGTTCAATCCCCAGTACCAAAAGGAGAAGAATAAAAAATTGGAATGGAAAAAAATTCATTGGAAAAGATCAAGGCATGATTATTTCAAAAGACAAGTGTCTGAACTAGGGTATGCATGGGACTGGTAAGGGAAGGATAAATCTAGCAAAAAATTATAAAGGTAATTTTTAAAACTTAATTTTTATTTTGTTTCATTTAAGTATGGCAGAAAAACCGATGGAGTTGCTATCTAGACTAGGTGTAATTATATGCATTATGTTAATCAGGAGACCTCCTTTGAGCGAGCCTGGAGCAAAGTTCTTTAAAGGTGTGCCTAAGGGAAACCCGCCCTCCACCGAGAGCTCCTTCAACTGTAAAGTGGTGTATTAAAATAAAACTATTTATTGCATAGGATTGTTTTAAAATTAATTCACGCAAAATGCTTGGTATATTGCCAAGCACACAGTAAGAATTTACTGTACAATAGCAGTACTATCATCTTTACTACTCTACAGCTTTTTTTCCCCCCTCTGCCTTTTTCTGCCAGCCACTACGTTTTCAACAGGGCTGGGCGATTATTCCACTACACTTCACATAAGATCGGCTTCTAATCAGATCTAGATTTTGAAATATGAAAACTGTGGAATTATTAGGGCTGTGGTACCTATCTGGCAAGGGATAAAATGCATCAATAACATTTTTACTCAATCTCTTGGCACAGAATGACGCCTCCTTCTGATGGTCTCCCCCGATCCCAGACAATAGTACATTCCACACTGCTGGCGGAATAGGTGTAGTGCCTAAGTTGAGCGCGCCAAGGGCTTCCTCTTCTCCCGGAAGCAATTTTTCTCTAGAACCGGAAAGAGTTGTTGTTTCAAGGGAGGCGGGACTGGGCGGGTCGGGCCGCTGCGGCTGACGGCGGGGGAGGAGTCGGGTCCACTGCCGGGTGGAGGGGCAAGGCGAGTGTCCTTATCCTAGCGAGTGGGGCTCGGGCCTGCGTGCCAGTTGGAGTCGCGGCGGCGGGAACGTTTGGGCCGAGCGGAGGAAGACATGTTGCTCTTCGTGGAGGTGAGTGGACTTGGTAATCTTCTTCTCTGAGGAGAACTGGAGTGTAGAGGCGCCGGCCGGTCCCACCGCCATGTGACTTTCCAGGCCGTACACGCCGCGGAACCGGCAGATAGGCTGACACAGCACCTGGGCCGTGCAGGCCTGCAGCTCCGCTCTGCGCGCTCCCAACACTTTGGGAAGCTGTGAGGGTGAGGCCCATACCGCGGGAGGACTGGAGGTGGGGTATCGGGGGCTTGTCTGGTTTGGCTTGAGGATCAGAGGAAGCTAAAAGTGTCCCATATGGATCTAAAGGAGGCGAACGGGCGGGGGTGGGGGGGCGGAGTCTGTCGGAGAAAAGGGTAATCAGGTGGGCGCGTTCTCGGGAGTGAGGCGAGGCCTCGCGGGGCCTCTGGGAGGAAGGCGAGCAACATGTGGGACCCCGGAGGGAGAAGGTGAAATGTGTTTTCTTGGTTTGTTTTGGAGTTTTATCGGGGGGCGGGGAGTGTTAAGTGTTTGGGGGAAAAAAAAGATTTTTTGCAGTTTCCACCAAATTTTGTTCGGTCCATGTCCCTAAATCTCTGGAACGTTCTATGGGCGAAAACGAGTTACTGTGAACGGAGGGGAAGCCTGTAGGTCTGGAAGTCTTGAAAGGCACCGCTTTGACCTTTTGTAAAAGTTACTCAGGCGGCGACTGCGTGATGCGGGTTGGTTCTATGAACCGATAAAACCTCTTTACAAGGAAAATTCCAAGAATGAAAGAAACAAAAAGCCTTTTTTTTTTTTTTTTTTGTATTGTCATTTGAGCAATAGAAATACTTTTATTACTTTAACTGGAACGTGTGCTCTTGACTTATTTTAGGTTTCAAAGTAGCGGTACCTGCCTTATACAAACGCGAACTTTAATTTCTGTCATTTCTGTCCTTCTGTTGTGTGCAGTGAGCGTCAGCTGACTGCCTGGCTAATACTTTGAGTAGATTCCAGATCATATTGTTCTTACATTGTGAAAACATCAAACCAGCAAAGCTGCAACTTCGCAACTTGGGTTTTGTTAATCAAGCCGGTAAAAAGAAGCTTTTCAATGAGGGAAGGATACAGGTTGTATAATGGATATAATGGACTGAGATCTAGGAGCAGCCGGTGGAAAGTGTTTTGTGGGGTGGTGGGCTGGGAGAATTTTACTCCGTAGTATTCCTACAGAAAGTAAATGTTTAAAAAAGTATTTTTCTTTTAACCTAATACTGTATTTCTAATAAGTCAAATGATTTTTATTGTTCTGTGGTGCTGGGAATTGAATCCAGGGCTTCTCGCGTGCTAGGCAAAGTTAAGTGCTCAACCACTGAGCTACATCACCAGCGCAGAGATCTTTCAATTAAGTTTAAATCTACTTTAGAGTATATCAATATTAATAATAAACATTCATTGGAATATTCCAAGCACATCATTAAAAAGTTTAAAATTGCCGAACTCATTCTGCCTGTTCATCCTTTTAAAATCCATAGTTTTCTTCAGAATAAGAAATCCGATTTGATTTTAAGCCAGTGCTAGTTTGTTTTAGGAATGTTATGCCAAGCAAATACTACATAGTTTTAAGTTTGCGTATGTTTTGTCAGGCAGAAGATTGTGCAGTTGCTTTAAATCAACGTGAATTCCAAAGTAAACTTTTTAGAGTTTTAGATTGATTCCTTTGGCGTTATTAATTGTGAATTTCAGTAATAGGTACATTTATTGAGTAAGTACCTCTAAAGTGATATTGCAGCATTTTACAAAGAAAGAAACTGAGGCAAACAGTAGAACTGGAATTTAGGGTGAGCCTGTAATCCAAGCAGTGTGGGAAGTTGAGGCAGAAGGATCACAAGTTCAAAGCCAGCCTCAGCTACTTGGTGAGGTCCTAAGCAATTTAGTGAGACCCTGTCTCAAAATAGAAAACAAAAAGGCCAGTGGTAGGTGCCCCTGGGTTCAGTCTTCAGTAACAAAAACCAAAAAAACCCTGGGATTTAGATTCAGGGGATTCTAATGTCAAATCAGTCCTCACTTCCCAGTTTAGACAGCTCTACCTTATCTTACTAAACTATTATGTAAAGTTAATATTCCTATTAATCAGTTCTTCATATCATGAGTTTTTTTTTTTTTTTAAAGAGAATTTTTTTAAATATTTATTTCTTTTTTAGTTCTCGGCAGACACAACATCTTTGTTTGTATGTGGTGCTGAGGACCGAACCCGAGCAGCACGCATGCCAGGCGAGTGCGCTACCGCTTGAGCCACATCCCCAGCCCCATATCATGAGTTTTATTGAAGATTAACAGTGTGATTAAATATTTGATACTGAACATATAGTGTTAAAATCTGTCAAAAATAACGCTTTGGTCATTTGGCATTTTCCTAATATTTGATTCTTAAAACCTCATGATACCAGAATTATTCTCAATGAGGGGAAACAAAGCTCAGAAGTTAGATGTTTAAAGTAATTCAGGTGTAAATAAGGTGGGACTAAAGTCTGAAGTCTGGCTTTCAGAATACAAGTCTTTTTGGCTCGCCAGGATTCTTCATTTAGGTTCCTGGATAAAACTGGAGAAGTACCTTAGTTGAGGTTGAGTTTGAGGAAAAAACTTGCCTGTTTATTTTCCTTAGCTTTTGACAGGAATCTAGATGGAAAAGAATCAAAAATTTTTTTTAATTCAAAGAAGACAGCAGAGTTTGTGACTTTGTCACCAAGAGAAAAACCAGGTTTTTCATATTAGAGGTTTTATAGATATCTTGAAATATTGTGTATGCTCATTACTCCTTTTTATATGTTTAGAAATTTACTTAAAGGACATTCACTACCATATTAGACATTTTAAAATATTTTGATAACTATATTTCAATATTACTGGTTTGCTTTGTAATCCTGTATACTTCAGGTGGTGTTTTAAAAGAGTCTGAGACCTGTTTGTGGTGGTGCACCTCCCCAAGGGCTGGGGAGTCTGAGACAGGAAGATCGTAAGTTCAAAGCCAGCTTTGCAATTTAGCAAGGTGCTAAGCAATTTAGAGATGCCCTATCACGAAATAAAAAGGGCTGGGGATGTGGTTAAGTGCCCCTGGGTTCAATCCCTAGTATGTACACATACACAAAATTCAGAGAAGAGATCCATAGATCAATCAGACTAAAGAAGTCTGGCACGAAAGGTTAAGAATCACTTTATTAAATGAAGTTGCTTGTGGATATTATCTTTGGCAGAGTTAATCTGGGATCCATGACTCCTCTGCGGTTGTGATTGAAATATTACTTGCATGTATTTTTTTTTTCCCCCAAAGAGACGCCCAGCTTAAATAGTTTATAACTGGAATCGGTGGGATAGCTATAGAGGACAGAATGCCTTGATTTTATTTTTATATGATACTAAGGATCAAACCCAGTGCCTCACACATGCTAGGCAAGTGCTCTGCCACTGAGCTAAAGCTCCAGGCCTGGTCTGAAAATGTTTCATCCCCATGTCTCAGCCTCCTACGTTTCTGGCACATTAGATGTTTTGCATTTATATTTATATATATATATATATCCGCTCAAGCTTCACATCTCTTTGAGGTATTCTTAACCCCATCTTAAAGATAAAAGAAACTAAGGCACAGAGAACTTGTCAAGATTATATAGCTAATTAAAGTTGAAGCTGGAATTAGATCTCATAAATCATAGTTATTTTGTAATAGACATCTAAAGGCAGATAAGGAATTTAAAGTAATACATGCAATTTTTTTAAACTTGGACTTTTTTTCCTTTTCTTTTCTATCTTTTTCTTTCCTTTTTTTTTTTTGTACTGGGGATTGAACCCAAGGGTACTTTGTCACTGAGCTATATCCCCAGCCCTTTTTATTTTTTATTTTGAGATAGGGTCTCACTAAGTTCCTGAGACCGGCCTGGAATTTGTGATCCTCCTGCCTCACTCTCCCTTGTCACTGGGTTTAATGCCAGCAGACCTGGTTTAACCTTCTGTTTCATCGAGGGACTATTTTGATTTAAGGTAGTTTGTGTGTTTTGTTTTGTTTTTTGAAGACACCTATGTTCTGAGACAGTTTCTGTCTGGGAAGAGGGGGGAAAAGTATGGATAATGTACAAAGTTGTCAAATGTGACCTGACTTAAATTCCTTTACAGGATATTTTGTATTTTAAACAGTGATATGTGCCCTTCTTCCATGTGCTGTCAGGTTGTTTAAAACTTTTGAGCACCTGGAGACAGATTGTAATTTTGTTAACATGTTGATCATTTTTCAGACCATATTCCCTCATTAAGTTGTTGAGGCTGGCCTCTAACTTGAAATTCTCTTGCCTCAGCGTCCCAACTTGCAGGAATTTTCAGATGTGTTCCATCACGCCTGGCCAAGATAATTTTTAACTATGGTAAAATACATATAAAGTTTATCATTTTTAACTATTAAGTTTACAATTCATTGTTATTTTTAAAGATGTGCACATTGTTGTGCAACCATTACAACCATACAACTCCAGAACTTGTTTCATCTTGGGATAATGAAGCTGTCTGCTCATTAAACAGTAATTCCTCATTTCTGTGTTTCCTAGGATTTAATGTAATAAAAAAATAAATTTTAGCTGTGCGGATTCCATGCACCTATAACCCCAGTACTGGGGATGCTGAGGTTTGAGAATCATTTGAGCTCCAGAGTTGGAGACCAGCCTGGGCAGCATAGTGAGACCCAGTGTTAAAAAAGTTTTCTTGCTTTTTTAGGCAATAACATTACTAGTTTTAGATTCTGAAATAAGTTGTAAGATATTTGCCTGGATAATTTTTATTAATTTTGTTAATTATTAGTAGTGTTGTGCCTTTTGCCCCAAATAAAGTACTCAGTTGTTTCCCATCAGCTTCTTTATTAGTAGAGTTATTGGATATCACTGACTGACCAAAAAAAAATGAACAAATTGTGAAATTTTTGCCAAGGAAAGTTATAAGTAAGTGAGTTTTGAACAGTTCAATTCTGGACTATATACTGGAGCTGGTAGTATGTTTTTTGTTTGTTTTTTTTTTTT